GAGAGAAGAAAACTGAAAGTTGCCAAATCTATTAACAAATACCCTTTTGTGTGCTAAAATAATTGGAGAGAAGAAATCAAATTTTCAAATGTAAAGGGAAATCTTAAATTCCCATAAAGATAAAGAAATATACAAATTGTATATTGTTGTAAAATCTTTCAATTAAACTAATTATGAAATCATTTACACTTAATCGAACCGGCTTTAAACCAATAAAAAATATGTTTTACCAAATAAATTAAAATTTAAGTCTCACCAAACATGAGCTAAACTTACCACTTTAGGCCCTATTTGGTAGCTATTTTTTTCAAAATGTATTTTTCTTTTTTTTCTTTTCAACCACACATTCTTTATTAAAATAATATTACATATAAATAAAAAACTTTTCATTATTTCTCAACCACACATTTCACATCAATTTACTATTCTAAAATGCATTTTTACATAAAAATGCCTATCAAACACCTCCTTAGTTACAAATCAGGTTTTCTTATTTTTAATAAAAAAATATTTACTGATTTTGATAGTAACATTTACTTTATTTTCACAATAAGTAGATAAGAAATACAAACTAAAAAAAAAAAAGCAAATTTATTTATTTCTTTATGAAGTATTATTTATATATATCCAACTCCCAAACATGAACATTCTTCTACTGATTTTCAGATATAATCATATAAATATTTCATTAGTGTTATCACTATTACTGTTTTTATTTTGACCCAATATTGGTAGGGATAATGTTGACTTTAACTAATTTAATACAGACATCTTTTGCCTTAAAATATATATTTAATTCGAATAAAATCTTTCATGCATCCCACTATGATATTTGGAAATTTTTAATTAGACATGGGCCATATGATAAGTAAACAAACAAAACAATTATTGAAAAAATATCTGTAGCAAAATCTTTCACGCATCACACTATGATAGTTGGCATTTTTTTTTTATAATTAGATTTAGACATGGGCCATATGGACAAGTAAATAAACAAAAAAATATCAGTAGCTTTTGTACAGGCTATAAATTCAAACCCAAAAAGCAAACAAACTTCACATTTCTTGTGACCTCTTTAATTCCTCCTCCTTTCCTTCTCCATTTTTCGAAAGAAATTTTTCCCTCATCATGAAGGCTTTAAGTTTCTTTGTTGGTATCATAGGTATCATCTTAAAAATTTTCCATTTACATTCTTGTATTGAAAAATCTCCTCTTCGATCTCATCATGCCACAAAGAGAAAGTGTGTTCAAGGGAGAACGAACACAACAGGTATTCGCTAACTAGCGGATAGCTACAATGAGATGAAGAGGAGATTTTTTTTTTGCCTTATTTGCACCGATTATGTATACTAATTACTTAACAATGTTTTGTTTCAATATTTTTGTAGGCAACATAATCTCAATTCTTATGTTTCTATCTCCAGTGTAAGTAATACATAGTCATGGAAATACATATGAATGATTTATTAAGCATCGATGCTCACCACGGAAACTATCTTCTGAGTATCAGTACTCATCTTATGTTACGCTCCAGTAACGTGTCATATAAATCCATTGGTTGATAAAGTTATGGTGGGCCTCAACATTCGAATTAAAGTTTAAAATTCACCAACGGATTTATATGACACGTCACGATACCTAACATAAGAAGAGTACCGTTGCTCATTAGGTCATTGGTTGATAAACTTATGGCGGGCCTCAACATTCGAATTAAAGTTTAAAATTCACCAATGGATTTATATGACACGTCACGATACCTAACATAAGAAGAGTACCGTTGCTCATTAGGTCATTGGTTGATAAACTTATGGCGGGCCTCAACATTTGAATTAAAATTTAAAATTCATAATGAATTTATATGACACGTTACCGACACTTAAAATAAGGGGAGTATCGGTGCTCATTAGGTCATTCATGTAAATTTACAAAAACCTATATGCATGGAGATATGGTCGTCCTGAAGGTGCACAGGTGGTGCGGCACTCAAAATCTCAGGATCGACTAGATGATGAGTTCTTGAGAAATTTATGTTTTTGCAGGAAGACATTTTGGAGGATTGTGAAGGACAGATCAACACAGGAGTTTGAGTCTCTTCCTTATATTTGTACACTGCTAAATTCATCTCTATGGACTTATTATGGAATCACAAAGCCAGACAGTTATCTTGTAGCAACTGTTAACGGTTTTGGTGTGATTGTTGAGACCATATATGTCATCTTGTTTCTTGCATTTGCACCTCCATGGAAGAGGGTAAGTTTCTTGGAGTTATCGAAAGAGTTTCGACTTTTGAAACCTATCAAGAACATATTTGGCTAAGCTTAAAATGTTTTTTCAAGTAATTTAGTTTTAAAGCAAATGATTATTTTGATTGATAAAATAGTGAAACACTTTCTTATCTCTTCACAAAATCCGTTTTCATTTCTAAAGCGTCTCCGACACGAAAAATATTTTACGATAAAATTGAATAACTATTATTTTTAATATACAAATAACTATTATTTGTTTATTAGAGGTTTCCGAAACTTGTCGAACACAAAAACATCAAACATTTAATTTTCCTTTCTTTATTAAGATTACATCTTTGATAATTTTCATTAATAATGTTGTAACAGGCTAAAACTGCAATATATGTTGCAATTCTGGATGTTGGTTTTCTAGCAGCTGCAATTTCAGTAACTTACTTTTTACTGCAAGAGGATATGAGAATCGATGTAACTGGTTTTATGTGTTCAGCCCTAAATGTTATCATGTATGGTTCGCCTCTTGCAGCTATGGTAAGTAAAAATTTAATCCCAATAAATGACAAAATTGAATGATATAATAGATAAGATTTAAAATTTTTTTTTTCTTTCATTAATAATGTCTGGTGTGTAGTTTATCTTACAAACTAAGGCTCGTTTGGCAAGAGTTTTGGTTTTGCTCATGCTTTTAGTAGAAGAACTTCTTGATAATGTTTTATTAAATTAGCTTTTTGTAAAAGTTTTTCTAATTAGACAAAGTATTTTCAAAAAATTATTCAAATAGGTCCAAAAATAGTTTCTTAGTCTCAAATTTTGAATTTTTAAAAACCTTTACAACGAATCCTAAGCCATCAAAGACTTTTAATATGCAATATTTAATAGAAGTGGACAACAAATAAATAATTTTTCATTTAATTTCTTTTTGTTTTTCAATAAGTGTTGAATTGCACCGTTGAAGTTGAATTTATAAGAGCTTTGCTATTCAGACAGGAGCTATGTGACGGGGCTTTAAACAGGGGCTGAGGTGGATGGCATTTGTAAACTTATAAAACAATAAATGATGGGCTTTGGAGGTTTCTTTTAATTTAGAAAAGGAATATTTTATATATTATTAGGAAGTGTTTGGCACGTAATCTAAACAAGTTTTAGTGGGTATCCTTACAGCCCAATCATTTTGAACTTATAGTGGACCAATTTTTTATTTTTTTATTTTTTTTTTTAAGTTTAAGATTTTTATTTGGTTAAAAACCTTGCTCAAAAGGGGAGAACCATTTTTGATAAATTTTAACTTTTAGATAAGTTGATCTATCGATTATCAAATAAAATAAATACTTTTATTACAAATCTTGTGCTGATTCATAAAAATTCTACTTATGCCATGAAAATAGTAAATGTTGTATGGTCAATGAATTTCGTGTCTAACAACATAAAGAAAAATATAATTTATTATAACTTATTACTCTTATAATTGAGTCAATAATGATTTCGCATGATAAGAATTTAGGATATGTTTGGCTGTGAATTATTAGATAAGACCAACTTTTTTTCTTCTTAATTAATACGCTATGATGTTATTCAATTCATCACTATTACAACTTCTTGTGACGTGCAGAAAAGTGTGGTGACAATGAAGAGCGTGGAGTATATGCCATTTCTTCTCTCATTTTTCCTTTTCTTAAATGGAGGAATTTGGACTTTCTATGCTTGCCTTGTACAAGACTGGTTCCTTGGAGTAAGTTCTTCACATCCATCAAGTCTAAATTATATAAATTATTGCATAACAATAATCCTATAACAATAAATCACAAAACCATTTATAATATTTTAATAATTTATTAGACTTAATAAATGAGATAGGTTAAATTTACCTATTTTAATTAGACTTATTTATCCACAGATAAAAAATAATAATTTAAGGAAATAAATTGGTCAATGATTAGACAGTTTTGAAATCAAGCTCTTCTCCTGATCACTTTCTAGAGTCATAAATCAAATATTCTTAACGCTATTTTGAAGTGACGTTTTGATAGTTTTTACCAACTCTAGCAATATAAATATGATCGTGTTAGATTTTAAAATAACTCGATTTTGAAGTGACGTTTTGATAGTTTTAACCAACTCTAACAATGTAAATATGGCCGTTTGATTTTAAAACGATTTTACGTGATTGTGCTCCTCAAAATTTCAAGATAGGGTTTTGGGCCATTTGGCATAATATAGGTAGCTATTTGTGGTTGGTGACACAAACAAACTTCTAATTTATGGTCATTTTTAACTATTAAAAACAAAAATCAACTGGCTTGATATCCTTCATCGTCCTCCAAGCGATTCAAGTGATTTTGCCCTCAGGACTCTCTTGTGCTCGCTACATTCAAAAGAAATTTGCTTATTTAAACAATAAGATATGTGACACCATCAAAATGAAGAACTTTTTTATTTTATATTTGATTAACAAAAAACTCGTTTACTCGTAAGTTTACTTTATTACGTATAAGTAAATTCAATTGGCTGCAAATTTTGTAATGGGAATAAAATGTTGTTGAACTTTATGTCTTTATTACAAGTGCTTCGTTGAACCTTATTTCATCATGATATAACGTTTAATTATGCAATGGAGATGGTGCATAATTGACAGGTACCAAATGCAATTGGATTTGTACTTGGAATGGCACAGCTAGTGCTCTATGCAATTTATAGTAACCCTGAAGCATCAAAGCAAATGGCTGCAGATTTGGAGGATGAACGGCAGACAGAGCCCCTACTTAATGTTCCAGAACAAAAATGAAAAGATATTATTTTAGTAATTTTTTATTTAGTTATTTTTTATTTTATTGTATAATTTAATATCGGTTAGTAGAGTAGAAATGTATAATTAGTGACAACAAATATCACAAGGGACATGGTTCGGTTGAGCACGTTTCGTTCAAAAAACTTCTAAGTTACTTTTATAGAAGTTTTCTCCGAAAATATATACTTGAATGACTTGCTAATTTCTCATTTTTAAGTAAAAATATTACTAAATCGAAAGTACTATTAATTTATGGAAAAATAAGTAAATTTCTTATTTCTAACGGCCAATATCCTTCTTGATTTTTATTGTGCTTGTGACAATACAATAAAAACAATGGTAAGAGCCGAACTAATGTTATCCAAGACTCACCGAAATAACTTTAACCCTTCAAACTCCAATAAAAATTAGAGCAAATATCAAATATGCTCTTTAGAGGTGTCTATCATCCCTCAAATCGATGAGCAGACTGAATTCATTAACCGTTAACAAACTAATTTGCCTTGTAGATTGGTCGGGTGATGATGGAGCTGTTGATGAACACTTGCTCAACTTACTATCCATTCGACAATAAACCCAAATTTCTCGAATACTTGGAAAAAAAAAATCCCCATGATGCTCTATCATATACCCGTCATGTTTAACTATAGTGCATATTCCCACCTTTCTCCAGATTTTGCATAATTTTATGTGCCAATAATTTCAATATATTGTCGATAGTCTGCCTTCTAAGAAGTCACTTTGGCATGTAAAAATTATTTTTGGTAAGAGCAAACTCAATCTTGTGTTTGGCAGCTTCCTAATGATTTTATTTAGATATAAATACAGCTACCCTTTGATAATTTGTTTGGCTAACTGTTCTTTTGCACAAATGAAACTATGAGCCAGTCCGATATAATTTTATTATTATTATTATTATTTTAAAATAAATTTTGTAAACAGTGATTTTCTTTGTATAATGTGTGGTTAAAAAACATAATAAATTATGAGTTAACATACAAAATTATTTTATAGAAAGAATGTATGGTTAAAAATGAATTTAGAAAAAAAATAAGTTGACTTCTTCTTCAAGTCGTTGTAACTACTGTTTAGAAAATTCCTTGATACCCGTTATTTTTACGGTAATGTATGGTTGCTGTTAGACTAGAGTTATTCATAAATCATAGTTCAATGCAATAAAGTCTTAAAATCTCATATTATTTGACAATATGATAATCAATTACTTTTAGATAAAAATATAAACTATTGAATTGTGTAACTAGCTTCAACTCTTCTTTAATAAGAAAGTAATGCATTTTCATATCATAAAACACATCAGGGCTAATCTCCCGTCTCCAATTGAGAGATTAAAACTTTTCATTGTTGATATACTGGAACAAAAGTTTAATTTCACATAAAACACATATAAATCTCAATTTTAGAGTTAACTATTTTTGGATTTGACATCTATTTATAAATTTAGATCGATTGTGCTACATGTACATAATAATTTACATACATATGATATGATGAGATATGATTTGACAAATATCTTCAACCGAATAAAAAAACTTTCACACCCTTTTTTCGACATCTCATTTTTATACATACCATTATGTACAAGTAGCATTATTCAATTTAATTTCCGATTAGTTATGTAAGATATATATAAATCTCATGCTAAGAATTAACTATCTTTGGATTTGACATCTGTTACGTCTCTAATAACGAGTTGCTAGGTCATCAACATAGACCACACTCCTAGGCACCGAAGCGCCTAAGCAATATAGTAGCATAGTACGAGGTAAATGTTCGAAGTGGATGGCGTCGGCATGAACAAGTCTAAGAATGCCTAAGCAGTATGGCAAATATCCGAAGTAGATAGTATCAACATGAACAAGGTTGAGTCACATTAGCTAGAAGACACGCGTGCTGGTTGGCAATCGATGTTTCGACACAAGATACGAATCTTTTAGGCAAAGATTTGTCCAAGATAAAATCTTATAAATAATGAATGTGATATCTCTACAGCAAATGCTAATGTGTCAATTCGAATCCATAATCATTAAATGCATGTCCGCCTATGGAATGATAGGTGGACGTCTATAAAGAGACGATTCGAACCAGAAGATGAAACCACGTGTCTTTATCCAACGGTTCTTCTTCCACCTTTTTCTCTATAAATAATTGTGCTCTATGTCTTTGTAAGGTAATGTAATTTCACAATTTAGTATTATTATTTCTTTTCCCCCTCTTGAGATAATATAGAAATTTCGGTGGATTCCGCTATCAAAAATAGTTATATGCAATTACAATTGATTTACTTGATCATCGAAGTGTTCGTTGCAGCTCCCAACATCATTGGAAATGGCCACGAGCAACTAACCGTTTGTGCCGAGTGTGCAAAGAGAAATATACGTGGAGTTACTCTTTGTTAATCATGTGGAGGTCCATTTTTCAAGGTCATCAATGTCCATTGATAAATTTAGATGTTTAATTAGTGATATAGGTGAGTAATATCAAGATGGCATCTAATTTTTGAAGCACCAAATCTAATAAAGGAAGTTTAGTGCCCAAAAGTTAATAAGAACCTAACAGAATTCAAGAGCGCGTTTTGCCCAATAAAGAAGCTGGGTGATTCTCCCCACAGACGAATTCCCTGGTGTAATCGTGCGACCGCGCTTTTCTAGTCAACGTTCACAATTTCCCATTTGCCTCCTTTGAAGCTTTCAACCCCATATACCAAAATTCAAGAAATATATACATATATATGTAGAGAGAGAAAAGTGGAGAGATAGAGAGACGAGGAGGGCACGCATCATGGGACAAAGACAACATGGCTGAATGACCCTAAACAAATAATGTCCTGTCTTGTTACATAAGATACAGAAAAAATACTAGGCTTTTCTTCTTCGCTTCTTCATCATCAGTTTTGCCTATCCAAGAAGACATTCAATCGAAAACCCAATCATTTTATCCGTAATATAAACGCATAACTTTCTTGTAAACCCATCTCTAATTTTGATTCCGACTCTGGGGAAATTAAGGGAAAATGATGACAATGGAAGGGATGATGGATAAGGGTGTGCTTGATGATATAATAAGGAGGCTGTTAGAAGGGAAAGGAGGTAAACAGGTGCAACTTTCGGAGGCGGAGATCCGGCAGCTTTGCGTCAACGCCCGCCAAATTTTCCTCTCTCAGCCCATTCTTCTTCAAATCCGTGCCCCTGTTAGGATCTGCGGTTTGTCTATTCCTTAATTTCTTCGAATTTATTTCTAAATCTTTGAAATTTGAAATATGAACTTTGTGGGATTATTTTGGTTGTATTAAATGAATGATAATTCGGAGTTTTGGCTGTTTTGTTGGGTTCGTAATCATTTAATTAGGATTTGAGAGCATCAAATGGAATTGGAGATTGAAAGTATTGATTAAATATCTTCATATTCTTTACTTTGTGTGCTTGGTGAGGAAGGGGCGAAGGGGAAACCAATTTTAGGGTAGAATTTTTGTTTTAATCAGAACCAGTCTTATCTTCATCCACGTCGAAATATCGTTGAATTGGAGTGAGGTTACTTTGTGGATTTCTTTTGAATGAGATCGCTGGTGGAGAGGGAATGGAATTGGTCTACTGATATGAGGATTGACACATTGCATCTTGACTCTTGATTGTGTTAGATGATATCATTCAGAACAAAAAGATCAATAGGATCCACCTCGATTTTTAGACAATTAACCATCAATAGAAGCGCGGCTGGTGTTATGAATTGGCACTGCTATCCTAATTATCAAGTTACTTAACTCCGGTTCCATGTGGTTGTACAAGTGCCTTACTGTTCGAAAAATTATCTTTTTATAAAGAAAAAATAATATAGTTCCACTCAAATGCAGACATTTTTGAAGGGTGAGTCACTGCAACCAAAATTTCAGTATCAACTGGAAGAAATGACTTTTTTATATCAGAACTTCAATTTATTATATACGAAGCAGTTGTAGGACTGCAGCATATAATGAAATCTTAATCACAAGGAACTCAATCGTGAATGTGGTTTTTCTTTGGAGAAAGCAAGCTATTTCTTTCGATATGATATGATGAAATATGGAAAGGAGATTATCAGTTCTTCTCTTTTTTGTGCAAGTCACTTTACATTTCTTGACACATCCATTATTTAGTTTGTTGATGCAAATGGTCGCATGTGATCAAGCTTTCTCTTTTATCTTGGAGCTTGAAATATGTCATTAATAAAGATTCTCCAGACCGTTTTCTTTTTGTTCGTTATACTTTTGATAAAATTCAATTCGATTCTTACGGGCTTTTTCATCCTTGACAATATAATCAACCACCTCACTTGCCCCTTAAAGGGGAAAAAAAAAGTAAACGAACAAAAAACACCTCATTTACAATCTGAACTTGTGCATTTTAGCCACTGAATCTTTATTATTTGTTTATATACCCTTGTCCTAATTGAAAAAACATCAATATTGCAGGTGACATTCATGGACAATATCAAGACCTATTGAGGCTTTTTGAATATGGTGGGTACCCTCCAACCGCAAACTACCTCTTTCTAGGTGATTATGTTGATAGAGGCAAACAGAGTTTGGAAACAATATGTTTGCTATTGGCTTACAAGATAAGGTATCCTGACCAAATTTTCCTTTTGAGGGGAAACCACGAAGATGCAAAAATCAACCGTATTTATGGATTTTATGATGAATGTAAAAGGAGATTCAATGTTCGACTTTGGAAGATATTCACCGATTGCTTTAAGTGTTTGCCTGTTGCTGCACTAATAGATGACAAGATACTTTGCATGCATGGAGGACTTTCCCCGGAACTAAAACAATTGGATGAAATTAAAGAGATTGAACGGCCCACTGATATTCCTGATAATGGACTATTGTGTGACTTGCTCTGGTCTGATCCTGATCCGAGAATACAAGGTTGGTCTGATAGCGACAGAGGTGTTTCATGTACTTTTGGACCAGACGTGGTTGCTCAATTTTTAGAGAAAAATGACTTGGATCTCATTTGCCGAGGTCATCAGGTAAATAATTTATATGATAGACTATGTACTACTCTTCTATTATTTCTTTCTTTTTATTTCTTCTGTTGGTTGGAGAGATACTATAGTATTTACTTATCCATTGCTGTCCCTAAAAGAAAGAAAATGAAATGAAAAGAAAGAGTATGTATTGCATATTGTAACAATTCATAACCCGCCTTAACGGAATAAATTCACCTGCTATTTACTGATTTATCCTAATCAAGTATTCCCTTGAGGTTCCAAGTGGTATATTACTTGAAAATGGTACTCAAAATGGATAGAAACCTCATATGTTTAATTATATTTTTTCTAAGAATTTCATTATTTTCTAATCCCGTCATTTGAACTCGACACAAAAGTTGTTTAGAAATCATTTACTAACAAAAATTTATACTTTGCTCAAATCTTTGCTACAGGTGGTGGAGGATGGATATGAATTCTTTGCTAAGCGGCGACTTGTCACTATATTTTCAGCTCCAAACTATGGTGGAGATTTTGATAATGCAGGTGCTCTTTTGAGTGTTGATGAATCTCTAGTTTGTTCTTTCGAGATATTAAAGTCTGCTGCAAGCACTTCAAAGTTTCCCCTAAAAAAGGTAAAACCTATTTATTATTATCTATATATCTTTTTGTGCTTTCATCTTCCACCTACTTTTGTTCCGAAAGTTCAACTATGTGATTAACCGGGTGATAATCTATTTTTCCAAAACAGCCCCCAAAGATTGGAGGGATCTGAAATGAAGATTGAAACAGTGGAAAGAATGGAAAATGTACATGAACATTTGTCGACAGTGAGTAGGAAGAATGAAAAACATGTTGTTTTTCTGTCCATAATTTCGAGGCTTACGTTAGCAAATTTCCGTGCTTCAAAGCTTGAAGAGGGTAGCTTTGGATTGCCAAGAATTAGATCGGAAAATTGAAGATGAACTAAGATTGTTCACTTGGTTAACTTATACACCCTTTATGTCAATGAATTTATACACCCTTTGCTCGATGTATTTTGGTAGCTAGAATTTACATTTGCAACTGATTTTGTGATCTTTAATTTCATTTTTGTACATCAATTTCTATTACAACGCTTTTTTTTTTTTTTTTTTTTTTTTTTTTTTGGGTAATGTATTCACTATTGTAGAAAGTTTCTTTTTGTTGTTAAGAAGTGGATGGAATGAAGGAAAAATGAAATGTGGCATTTTTAGTTAGGTTTGTTGAAATGCATGAGTCAGAAAAAATCACTGTTTAGTCACCAAACTCCTCTTTTTTTAATAAAAATAAACCTTTTCTCATAATGTATGGTTGTTGCCCCATTTCATGATCATCGCCATTGATTGTCTTCGATTACAAACTTCTTGCATGTATAAATAAATTAATAATCTTAATTTTTAGAATGATTCTGTCCACTATCATTTCACATAGAAAACATCAAGTAACTCAATCAATATAGATTAGAATGTTGTTCCTAGCTCCAATTTGCTTCTTGGGGACTCATTGACCTATTTATACTTCTACCTCGTTTGGATAAATGGGAGGGATTTATCCTACTTAAATTACATATAATCTTCCAAATACGTTCTACAACCTTCTAGTTGATTTTAAATGTCTCCAATACTTCATTTATCTGGAACATTTTTAGATTTAAAGATCCATCCACATTTTCCCCAATTCTTTTAGAATGCTCTTTCAAATTCTTTCCATGGAACATTAGAGTGTTCCTCTTTCACAAGGATCCATAATATTTACAACATTTTAAAACCTTCAATTAGCCTCTTTCATGGAACTTTGAGAATCAATACTTCTCCACAAGATTCGCCAATGTATAGAAAGTTCTAAGCTTCGCCATCCATCAACCTTAGCATCTAACAATATCATTATGTTTATCTTTGTAGACTGCATACCCAACTTCCATGGGTATGCATTTTAATTGGAACTCGACCTTTTCAACTGGTTCAATTTCAAAAATTATATGGAATCAATAATTGTTATATTTATTATACAGACTAGCATTTCATTTAGTCATTATTTGAGCACATAATGGGATGGGCCCCTTTTTATTAACACATATGGAGAGCCCTACTCTCACTCCATTTAATATGGAATTAGACCATTGGATTCTATATATAAAAACAGGTTGGCCCTTCTCATCTCTTAAGCAAGAAGAAGGATATCAGTTTCAAGGGGTTTTGAATGGGAGCAGAGAGTAGTTCTCTCCATAGCAAATTTCTTCATCTTTTATAGCCTAAAGAATCTATGGAAAGTCAATCACAAGCTATTGGAGGTATGATTTCACTTTGTTATTGTTGAATAACAATGCTATGAAAATGAGAATGGATTATTAAATTTATTGAAGTTAACAATTGGTATCAGAGCTTCCTCCTCATTTTTATGGATGTATTGTTCCATTTCTTTTTCGTTGGCTATTATGATTGATTATTTTGAGTACACTACAATCTGGGTCATTCTTGTTGGAGAGAGAAATGTTGTGCTAACCCCCTTTTTTTTTTTGCTAATTATTGGAGATGGCTTGCTTCCTCTCATTTTTTTATGCCACTAATTTGGTTGTCTATCCAGTCGGCGAGTTTAAGAAAGGCCGAGTTGTTACATCAGTTTCTTAACCATTCAATTTTGAATGGGGTACTTACAAAAGTAGTTTTGGAAAGATTTGGGGATGAGTTGGGCCGAGAAAGAATGGTAAAAACCCAAAAATTACTCCCACAAGGTGGCGCCTGGGCACTACGATTTGGGTGCCTGGGCATTGACTTTCTGTAAAAAATTACAGCAACATGGCGCCTAGGCGCTGAGGGATAGCGCTTGGGCGCTCGTGACCACTTCGGTTGCACTGTACAGCTTTCAGTATTTTTATCATAATTCTTTCTCCCGATATCCGATTGAGGTGATTCAAGAAGCGTTGAAAAGGTAATTCAAAGGGATACAATTTTCTTCAGGCATCATTCTCCAATTCGATCGTTTTCTGTGTCGAAAATGGGTCTGAATGTGAGACTAAAAATCCGGTGCAAAACTTTTCGGTTGGAAAATGATTTATGATCATATCTTGACTAAATTTGATCCCTTTGACATCTTTCTTCATCCAATTGGCTTCCAGAACTCTCGGATCTTCATTCCAAGTTTCGACCCAACTTTTGATTATGTGCACCTTAGTTCTCGAACTTTGGATCTCTTACATTTTGGTCTTTTCATCCAATTTCACCAACTTTTGCCTATTTCTTTCATTTGGCCTCTTTTATCACTTGTTTCTCCACTTCATCCATCCTTCAAAATAGCATGAAAACCACATGTTAGCACCTCTAAAATACATGAGAATCAACTAAATAATAAGCTTAATGGCCTTGATATGAAGAGTGAAATATCACTCATCAGCCATCTCAGTTTGATGCACTCAAGACTACTTATAATGCTCAGAAAGAAGAATGGGACTTGAGTGAAATGACCGCTATTGTAACTCAAGAAGAAGAGATGATGAAAAAGGCAAAGTCTCATGCTACTTTCATGATAACTACTGATAAAGGGAAGAAGAATTTTTTCAAAGGTAATGTAGCAACTCTAGTAAGATGGAGAGATCTGGGAAACCTCTTCAGCAAGCTATCGTGAGTGTTCCAAATGGGCCTAAGAAGGAAGGTTTTAAGGGCAAGTGTAACTTCCGTCATATTTTTTGGCACAGGAAGGTTGATTGTAGGAAGTTTAAGGCTTGGTTAGATAAGAAAGGTACACATTCGATACTAGTATGTTTTGAATCTAATCTAGTCAATGTGCCTTTTGATACTTAGTGGCTAGATATTGGTGCAACTATTCACACTACAAATTCTTTGCAGGAATTAGGGAACCATGGAAGACCAATTGACACAGAGTCAGTAGTAAACATGGGCAATGGGGTGAAGGTTAAAGTTGAACATATTGGAACAGTCAGACTTATTTTAGCTTCTAAACATGTTTTGAACTTATTAGATACTGCTTTTATACCTTCTATCAGAAGAAATCTTATCTTTGTTTCTATTTTTGATAAATGTGGATATGTTTTTTTTATTTTGGAAATAGAAATGCTACAATCTATTATAATTTGTTGTGGTTGGTACTTCTACATTATATGATGGTTTGTATAGAATTAACCTGTTTCCTGCTTTAGACTCTACTTCTTCTAGTATATCTGTTGTGAATATTGTAGTTGGTTCTAAATGTACTAGATCTAAATGAAAACTCTTCCATGTTGTAGTATAAAAGGTTGGGTCACCTAAAGAAAGAATGAAAAGGTTGATTAAAGATAGTATACTAGTTGACTTGGATTTCTCTTATTTTGAAGCTCGTGTTGCTTGTATCAAAGGGAAGGTTCTAGCGAAAACCATAAAACAAAATATTAGTAGGAGTGTGGAAATTCTGAATTTAATTCATACTGATGTTTGTGGTCCCATTTCACCTGCCTCTTTGGGAAATTATAAATACTTTATTACTTTTATTGATGATTATTCTCGCTATGGTTACATTATACTCATTCAAGTAAAATCAAATTCATTGGAAGCCTTTAAGGCTTTCAAGGCTATCATGGAGCTGTAGAAAAACAAGAAAATCGAAGCCATAAGATCAAATAGAGGAGGTAAGTTTTATGGGAGATATGATGAAACTGGTAGAAATTCTAGACCTTTTGCTAGTTTTCTCGAGGCATGTGGTATTAAGGCTCAATACACAATGCCCGGACCCCTGAACAGAATGGTATTGTAGAAAGAAGAAATCGTATTCTTATGGACATGGTGCGGTGTATGCTTAGTCATTCCACTTTACCTGGTTTTTTGTGAGGGTGAGGCTTTGAAAACTGCTATCTACATTCTGAATCAAGTATCAAGCAAATCAATTCCTAAAACCCCTTACGAGTTATGGTCAGGTAAAAGACCTAGGTTACGTCATTTTCGTGCTTGCGGCTATAGAGCAAAAATAAAGTCTTATAATCCTCAGTAGAAGGAACTTGATCCTAAGACTGTCATTGAATATTTTGTTGGCTGTTGTGTAGGATCAATAGGCTCTAGATTCTATTGCCCTTCTAATGTTACTAGAATTGTTGAATCTGATCAAGCCGTTTTCTTTGAGGATGTTAGTAACAGTGGGAGCTCTGCGCCACGTGAAATTGTGTTTAGGAAGGAACGTGTTATTATACTTGTTCAGGTTACTCCTTCATCAATTGTTGTGACAACATTCCAAAACCCAATTGCTGACATTTAGGTTGATATTGATATAGGGACTGATGATATTGTTTCAAGGAGATCACAAAGAGCATGAGTTTGATGTTGTTATGTCTCTTTGATGATTATATTATCTATTTGCAAGAGCATGAGTTTGATGCTGGTACGTCTCTTGATTCGACCTCTTTTAAGGAGGTCGCTGATAGTTTTAATCTTCATTTTGGATGGATGCTATGCATGATGAGATGGCATCGATGTGTCAAAACGGAGTATGGGACTAATGTAATACATTAAGTTTTAAAAAAAAAGTCAAACAAAAAAATAAAATAAAATATAGTATATGAGGCGGTGGAATTGGATTGATATCAATCCAATTTCACCAAAAACAAAGTAATAACATAAAACAAACACCACACACCAAAACAGAAAACGGACCAGAGAAGAAAAAGAGAAAGGAAAAAGAGGAAAAAAAGGAAGAAAAAGAGGAAGAAAAAGAAGGAAAAAAAGGGGAAAACTTGTCAACGTGTTAGAAATTAAGTGAGTTTTACTATTAGGCTTGAATTTCTCAATTTTGAAAGGTAAGTAAAAAGCTACTTATTGTTAAGTTATGTTTGATTTTATAGTTGTTAGATTGTTAGGTTAAATTTAATTTTATTGAAGGGGTTAAGTGTAATAAACTATGAAAATAAGTAAAATGAAAGAAAAATTAATTTTAGTAATTAAAGAGACTTTAGAAATCACCTAAACGTGAAATAATTATGTTTGAGTATCGCCTATTTAATTATTGAAATTACTTAAATTAGTTAATTGTTGATTTAAAAATTATATTATATTTCAGGCGGCGATACGAATATCGGGACAGCGTACCAATCAAATTGATTTTGGCGTACATAATTCTATGAGTAGAAAAATATAAATATTTTTAAAATATTTATAAATTAAGTATATTGTGAAAGTATGTGCAATTATGTGTTCGAATTGTATGGTTATTATGAAAATCTCTTTTATTATGATACAAG